TCATATGCTACAATGGATGGATGGACAGTTTCTGAATAATATTCTGAATAACAATCTGAATATTTGTGAATAATATATATCATTCAGTCAGATTTTTCAATATTCTGAATGGATAGATAGATAGATAGATAGATAGATAGTTGAACAGATTTCTGAATATTCTGAATATTATCGATCAGATTTTTTGAATATTCTGAATGGATGGACAGACAGATATAGATAGATAGATAGATAGATAGATAGATGTCATTTAGATAGATTTTTAAATAGTATTCTGAATAAAAATCTGAATAGTTCTGAATAATATATCATCATTTAATCTGATTTTCAAATATTCTGAATAGCAATATGAATACTTCTGAATAATATATCAATCAGATGATAGATAGATAGATAGATAGATAGATAGATAGGCATGCAGACAGACAGACATAGATTTCTGAACAATACTCTGAATATTTTCTGCGTAAAATATCAAATAAATAGATAGACAGGTTGGGTTTAGTAGGGGGGATAATCCATTAGTTCAGAGCTACTGCTAGCATGTACGAGTGTGAGTGTGTGTGTGTGTGTGTGTGTGTAAGAAAGAGGGCCAGAGGGATGTAGTGTGTATTAAGATATGATTAGTAGAGATTAAAGCTCTGCCCCAGAGTTTGAGCAGCTCCAGGCTGGAGGAACAAGCACCCTGCAGAGACTGGAGCCGTCAGCCCCGTCAGAGCCATATCCTCTCCTTAACGCAATCAATACCTCTGCCTCATATTCCCCTGATGACACAGTACCACCAGACAGCCATTTACCATTTGTCCGAGCTAATGGCAACCCTCATAAAAAGATAAAACTAACGAGGATTCCTATACATTTACAGCTCTGAGACAGAGTGTTATGGTAACTTTGGCCTGCTTGTGTTAGCAAAGCTTTAAATTTCCAGTTCCCTCTGTCTGTCCAACTCTATATTAGCTGATTACACAAATCTTAAAACAAAGTTTATCTTTGTGGAACAAGTGATTGCAAACCTACTCTAAAAGAATATGTTAAAAATAGACACAAACC